TTCCAATGTCATTCCCATTTTCCCAGCATTTAAAACTTAGCATTTAGTAGTTATTATCTTTGTAACAGAATTTATGATGTGTGGTTCCCATTTTAAAGAGATTTGTGTTAAGGACAAAAGAATCTATGGATTTTGGGCAATAACAATAGGATAGACTTATCAAATTGCACCTCAGATCATCCACAGAAAGGCTAAATTCCATGAATCAGTGATGGAAACAATGCTTGCACTGTTATTACACCCACAAGTCCACTTGTACTGTTCTCAGTTGGAAATAATTTCAGTCTCAACTTCTCTTGCTTCGTTAAAAGCAAAACCCCTGTGTGTTTTTTAATCTAAATGCAGGTAGCCAAAGAGAACAATGGCTCATTAGTAAAAGCTTTTCACCACAGAAATATGCAACTGTCCCTTTGTCTACAAATACACACAATTCCTGATTTAACAGGACCTGTTAAACTGTGCCTCAGTGCACATTTTTCTGCTGCTCCTCATTTTAATCAAAGGGAGCTTTGATTTCATGAAGAATCCCCTGTGGGGTGATGCTGGCTGATTGAATTTACCTGGGTGGATTTTAAATGTTTACTTCTGGTCTCTCCAAAGTGGGTTTGCCAAGAGGAAGATGCTCAGAGCTGCTCCTCTGGCACACATCTGCATTTTTTGGGGAATAGGAATGGCATCCCAGCAACTGGAGCCACACAGCTGCGGGATCATTTATGGCATGGCAGCTTTGTGCCATGTTAGACATGGATTATTGGGCTTTTTTTAGGTGTTCTTCCAGCATTAAACAGGGAAGCTCTGTCAAACAGCACTGAGGGGATGAGGGGAGTTGTTTATCTGTTTGGTTTCATTGGAGAGGGGTGCAGAGGAGCAGGGGAGAGCAGAGAGCCTGCCCAGAGCTCTGGGCTGTGCCTGGCAAGGGGCACAGACACCCAAAGCAGCCTCATCCAGCCCATCTTGTTGGTGTCCCTGTCAGCTTAAACAAACCCGAGAGGAAAACTGATTTTAGAGAATTGTAGCTGATTATGCTTTAAAAAAAAAAAAAAAAAAAAATCTGTTTTAGCACTCATTTGGTGATCACTGATGGGCTTTGTGTCCATTTTTGCTGTTGCCTTCCCCCGGAGCTGAGTGTTGAGGTCACAGCACAATGCAGGGGTTGCTGTTCTGCCTTGATTTGTGGATTTAAATAGCCCCTGTTTCACTGAGGCACACAGCTGTCCTTCGGGATGGATTGTTATTACATAAACATCCAAGACAATGCAGTTCCCTTGTGATGACAGCACTGAAGTGTTTGGGTTAAGTTCTGTACACCGAGCTGGATGTTCAAACACATTAATTACTTTCTTAAAAATAAATTTACTGCACGCCTCATATTTGGTCCTGCCTCCTTTCTGGTTTGTTTTGCCAAAAAGTTCTGGATTCCCCAAGTCAGTTCCTTTCATGCAGAGAAATTTGAAAATGAAAGATGACATTTATTTACTGTCCCTGTGCCATTTCAAACCCTGAAATTACGAGTCCTTGATTTAGATTTAGACCTTTTCAAGTACATGCTGTACAATTTTAAGATTACTGAAGGCAAACTTGTTCACAAGCAGCACATAATTGACTGGAAGTAGAGGCAATGAAAGGCTGCGAGTGCAAGGGCTGGTGTTTTGCCCAAGTGAGGAATAATCTCAGGCTCACTGTGAGAGACAAGGGCTTGGTGAAGAGGTTCTCTGGTCTTGAAGGCTGAAGACAGGAGTAACGTGCAGGCTTTGGGAGATCAGACAGGAACAGGGGTGCTCTCTGTCCCAACCAGCTGCAGACTCCTGATTTCACACTTGTTGTGTCCTGATTGGCACCACAGATATTCACCCTTCACAGATATTCAGGCTTCTCCCACACCTCACACATCCCCACGTGCACCCAGGGCTGTTTTGCTGCCTGCCCACACTCTGTGCCCACCCAGCCTTCTCCTGCCTCTCTTTTTTACCTGATCTTCCCTTGAGGTGTTGAGGAAAATCTGCATTGCCCTGCCAGGAGCAGCTGTGGTGTGCTCACATTGCTGCTGCAGGCAGGGCTGGGGGATCCTGGAATGCTTTGGGTTGGGAGAGACCTTAAATCCCACCCAGTGTCACCCCTGCCACGGCAGGGACACCTCCCACTGTCCCAGGTGCTCCAAACCCCGTCCTTGGGCACTGCCAGGGACCCAGGGGCAGCCACAGCCGCTCTGGGCACTCTCCCAGGGCACAATTCCTCCCCAGTATCCCATTTAACCCCCTCTATTTCACTTTGAAGACTTGAATCCTCCCACAAGAGTGGATTTTTCCCTTGGAAGTGGGGCAGGGAGCTGTGGGGCAGTTGCTGTGCCCTTGCTGCTGCCCTGGTGTCCCTGTGCTGTGCCAGGGCTCTGGAGCTGAGGCTGCAAACAGCAAAGGGGTTCCCAGTGTCTCTTGTGACGCCCCATCTGTGGCTGCCTCCCAAATTTAGGTTTAGGTGAAGCCACCAAACAGCAAACCCTGGTCCCCACCCAGGCCCCAACAAACAGAAATTTTTATTTCAGTGGCAATGCAGTGTTTGTACCAATGGCCTGAACAATGACCTTGTTTGGCTGCAGAGTTCTGTGCCTCACTTGGTTATTTGCCCATTAATACAAATGCTGTCAATTATAAAATATTTAGACACTTATTGATGGGGAAATTGCCTGCACAGTGCTGAATTTAATGTGAAAGAAACAAATCTGTGTGTAATTGGCAGAATATGCTGTGTGGAGTTGACTTAGCAGGATAACTCCTGTTCTTAGGAATTCAAATATTTGCCTTAAATATATGAGGATTTCCTAGCACATCTTTGAGCAAATGGCAATTCTACAATGTCTGTGAACTTCTTGATTTTCCTGCAGAAAAACTGTCTCAATAAATCCATAATAATGATACCTTTAGATGCAAAATATATAATCTAGCCCGCCATTTCTTAGACCATTTGGGGGGGAAACTGCACATATCTTGTTCAGCCCAGCACTCTCCTCAAGGAAGAAACATTTGTTATTATGAGCAGGTTGTATGTTGGTATACACGTGGTGATTACATGTTGGTATACACGTGGTGATTACATGTTGGTATACAGGGGGTGATTACATCTTTGTATGCACGTGGTGATTACATGTTGGTATACAGGGGGTGGCATTTCCCTGCAGCCCTGTCCAGGGGCAGATTCCCAGCTGGAAATGTTGCTCCGGGTGCTCCTGGATGGCTCCTG